TGATGTGCTGGCGTACCCAGACCGTTTTAGAGCTGTCATCTAGGAAGGTAAGTCATGGCGAGGGGAGCAAATAAGATTATGTAGGGGAAGATGACGAATTAAAGGGTGTGATCTCTTTGCTTCGAACAAAACTGTCGAAACTTGGACTCTACGAATGTCCGATAAGCGTGTGCACAGTCGGCGCTTATTCGACGTTCTGTGGGAAAGACGTTACTCGTAATTTTCAAATACAGCAAGTGAGGAGGAGGGTGTGGAATTCTAAGCCCCGTCAACGAAAGAAGATCGGTGACGTTGTTGGTTACGCCAAGGAATCGAAGATCAGGTTGGTATAAAATGTCGCGCGACTTATGAGCGACTACCGGATCAGAGCGATTACCCAGTGGACACCTTACGACATCGAACAAACACCTGATAGTGCGAAGGTCATCAATCACTGTCGAAACTCCCAGCTCTCAGCGCACGCTTGACTGATGGACGACTTGTAATACAGGTGGTACTGCATGATGAGCCTAAAAAATGGAATATATCTAGAATTTGGTAAAAACCGTCTTTTCGACAGAATATATATGCATATAGAACATTTAGCTAATTTTCCACAACATTTACCCTTATTTGATATACGTATACGAATCAGAAAAATTTCGTCTATGAAGAGACCTAACGCACACATCTTAAATTTTTCAAGGGTGTGACTTGTGCTCTTGGCATTCTGACCACGGCTGTGGAAACTTGTTCTATAGCGGTCGCTGCGACGTTCATCTTCGGATGGCCTGTTTCAATATCAATCATTTGCGGGTACGTGTCTGGAGTTCTGATTTTCAGAGGGATCTCTCAAGCTGCTTTTTATTATAGATTGGTACTGGCTGCCATCTCACCAGCTGTCACTGTTCCAGTGATGCTCGATCTGCAGAGCCGAGGGCTAGGTTCACGAAAGGTAGCAAGTCAGCGAAAATACCAATTTCTAAAACATAATTGGTAAGGAGGATGAAAGCTTGTTCAGAACGACTGAAATGAATGGGCAGCTTTTCCGTCATGCAAATACCCTTGATATCTCTTAGAAGCCCTTCTATGAGAAAATTTACTGTCCTCAATTCACTTCTATCCCTTAAAAGCGTAGTCAAGTGAAACAGATGCACCACCCTTTGCCGTTCGACCTTTGCCCAGCAAAAGGTTGGACGACCGAAACACGCCCGGGTAATAAATGGGTTATGGACAGAACCAAATCCAGGTTATTGTCCTCTTATTCCACTCTTTAGATTGGAAGGATAAAGAATGACGCTTTCGAGTGTTTATCATGCCCGTTTGAGGGATGCGCTTCTGCATACATGTTCCGCTCAGATTCGTAAAGGCGTATTGAATGCGTAAGTTACCTATGCAGCGATTTACTGGCTATAAGATGTTCAAGTCAGCACTTTTATTTTCCCAACCGAATGACCCAGGAGGGTGGGAAGCTTGTTCGGCTCGGGCGGTATCGATCCGGGACTCAAGATTTCGGACTTTATTGAATCGCAATTCG